GAAATTGAAGAATAAAAACCGCAATTGTTTAATTCTTGAACAGGGGCTGTTTGGGTATCGGATTGATAAAGGAGCGACAGGGCTGTTTCATATTTTTGGTGATAATTTCAATTACTCAGGATGGAATAAGTGCATGCGAGTTAGTGGTTTTTATCACAAAGAAGGGAAAGATTTAAACAGGGACAGATTGCGATTCATTTTAATTGACTGTGAAGATGGAATTTGGAGGTAGGGTATTTCGGTAATTATGATTCATGTTGGTTCTTCAGTATGTCTAGAAATATGTATGGGAGAGAGGATAAAAGGAAGGATTTTAACAACAAAGAGAGTATAAGGAAATGGATTAAAGGGTATATTAGGCAAAATTGGAAGGAAAATAAAAAGGATCATCTTTTTGTGAATTGCTTGATCGTTTTTGTGTATGGCTTTTTAATTTTTTGGAGGATTGGAGAAGATTGATCTGAAGAATAAAGGATGATGGATAATTTTTGTGTTCCAGGTTGTTAGTCGCAGGGCTGGTTGGTTGAAAACAATATTCTCTATTATGATTTTTATTATTTGGTGGAAAGTATAAAGGAATGGGGTATTTTGGGCATAGTTTAATTGTTGGTGGAGATGGAAATTGGAGGGAGTTGGTTGTGGATAGGAGTAAGGGTAATATTGGAAATCTTAATTGGGTTGAAGACTTATTGAATTTTGGCTGCGTTATCATTTATGAAAGAAGATGGGGTGAAGGGCAATATGGTCAAACTTATGTGTTGAGTTTTTCTGTTGTTATTTGGTGAAATTTTTTTGGAGTTTGGATAGGGTCAATAAAAAGAAGAAGAAAAGAGATCAAATTAAAATGATTGATTTGAGATGTAACAGAAAAATGATTCTTATGTTGATCAAAGGGCAAAAGTGGAATTATTGGAGATGGGTGAATTCTGGTTTCTATGAAGGAGTTTATGTTCCAATATTTTTACAAAGGAATTGACGGTAATGGGATTTTTACCAATTTTCCTTAAAATTGGATTGCAATTTGGTTTAATCCCAAGTATCATTTGGGTCATACCTTATGATGTGGCTACTTCCCATCATTATATGGAATTTTTTTCATTTATTGGGAAATCCCGCCTTGGAAACAAGGTGTGTATTTTCGAGGAATTGACGGATTTGGGAGTTTTTATCATTTTTTCCCTTAAAAATGAATTGCATCTCGGTTTGATCCCGAGTTTCATAAGAATTTTTTCTTGTGAAGTGGAATTTAAAAAAGTGCATATGGGTAATATCCCCATAAGTTGTGTTTTTTATCCTATTCATTAGGATTCTCCACAATTGTGGGTGCCACTACTGGTTCGATCAGTAAGTGGTGGGATATTCACCCGTCAATAAACCAGGCTTGGGTACGTCATCCTTAGACTGTACCACCAATTTTTTGGCATTTTTTGGGTAACAAAATGTCACTCTTTGTCCGGTTCAAATCCGGAAACTTTAGTTGGTTGGTTTCCCTCTTTTTCCATAAAAGAATAAAAATCTTGGTTCAAGTCCAAGTAGTATAGTCATGTGGTTTGCCCCATTTTTCCAAAAATGGATGTTCTTTCCGGTTCAAATCCGGACTATTTAGTTGGCTGGTTTTTTTCTTTTTCCATAAAAAGAACTTAAATCTTGGTTCAATTCCAAGTAGTTTAGTCATGTGGTTGGCCCCTTTTTTCCAAAAAGGATGAATTTATCCGGTTCAAATCCGGGAATTATAGTTTGGTTTTCTAACTTTTTCCGTAAAAAGTTTCAAAAATCTTGGTTCAATTCCAAGTAATTTAGTGGGTGGGTTTTATGATTTTATCTATAAAAAATCAAGAGATGGGATTTGTGTTTAAAAGAGCATGGGTGATGATGGTTGATGAAGACAATTGGAATGGAATGTTGGAAAAGCGTTATAATCAAAGAAGGTCGGTTGAAGAGAAAAAGAATAGGAAGATTGTGAATAAAGATAATAGAGAGGATGATAATTTGGCTTGTTATAGCAACATACTTTTGAGGTACATAAAAGATAATAAAGATACAAGGGAGAAGAAGAGAAAGAAGATTGCTATTTTGGAGTCTTTTGGCAATGGGAAGGTAGAAACTATGTGCATTTTTGTGTGGAGATTTTGGGATATTGGTGTTCATAGGACTAGTGTTATTATTGACACTTGGATAAGGAGCATGTATAGAGATGGCATTTTTGAAGATTGGAAGAAGAAATGGAGTATTCACTTCGAGTACGAGCGGGAAATTGAAGACCACTCCGGGTTGTGGAGTTGGAATAGAATAATTTGTACTTTCTTTGTTTATATTGTCATTAGGGTTAGCATTTGGTTTTGGTATCTTAGAGATATTTGGATTTTGGTCTTGTTTGGGGTCATTTTTGGGGTTTGTCCAAAAATGACATAACTCTTGTTTTTTTTTTTTCGTGTTTATAAAATCTTTGCCGGGGCTTCGGCCTCTTTCCCAAAAAAAAAAACCCTAAAACCTAAACCCTAAACCCTAAACCCTAAACCCTAAACCCTAAACCCAAAACCCAAGTCATTTGCTAAAATTTTTTCTCTCTCTAACTTTCTCTCTCTAGGATTTTCTCTCTCGGTTTTCCAGTTTTGGTGAGTGGCTTGGTTGGGATTCTGGTGATCGGATCTCTTGCCGGTGCCGGAATTTCATCATCGTTGATTGAATTTACTCTAAAATCAATTCCAATTGTCTATACGATTGGTGATCGGATGTTCTGGAAAATTGGAAGTATGTTTGGCATGAATTATAAAGATCCACCTGATCCAGCTAACAAAAATCTATATGAAGATGATCTGGAAGCTGATGTTGGAGCTAAACGAAGAGGAAGAAGAGCTATGCACAAGGAATTTTCTCCGTATTCAATGATTAAACCATTACGATCAAAAGAAAAAATGGAAGCTAAAATTAATCGGTTAAGGGAAGAAAAGAAGTATCTGAATGCGAAATCTATTGCTGATGGATCGAAAGAAGTTCTTCGAGCTGGAGTACGTGAAATAATAAAATCAAATTATGGGAAAGAAAATATAGATCCGCAATTTATAAAATCGGAGTTGGAGGCATTTGATAAGGTGATCGCTAATCAGAAAAAATTGGAAGAAGAAAAAGGATTTGTGTTGCTCCAGGTAACCTCAGATATGGTTAAGGATATAATTCTTCTAAGAATTTGGTGGGTGGATCATCTCCTTCGTCTCCTGTTATTCAAGCGAACATGGGAATGGATGCTGGAACTGTAGCTGGGTCGAACAATAGAATTTCAGCTGGAACAAAAAATGACAAAGGCATTTTGGTTGATGAGCCGAAGATTACTAAGGACTTCATTTCATCGGAATTAATGAAGATGGGTTCGTATGCTTCAGGCCCTGGTTCGTCTTCTTCAGGTCCTGGTCCAGTAATTGAAACAAATGAAGGGAAGGGCATTTTGGGAAAGTTTCCTGTTTCGCAAGTTGCTTCAGTTAATTCAGGTATTCCGGTGGTCTTTAATGCTAATCCTATTGACTCAATTAGTTGTAATACTAATTGTAATGATGAAGATATGAAAGATTCTATTAATGAGAATGGGAATTTGGAAGTTGGTTATGGTAATAATATGAAGAAAGAACAGGGAGCTAATTTCTTGAATATGGATTTTTCGAAACCTGTCCTCTCCCCTGCAGCTAAGTTGGTTAATGAGTTCAATAAAAAATCTTATGCTCGTATGGTTGAATCAACAAATAATGTGGTGGATCTTAATATCAAAGTTATTCCAAAAGTTGATGGGAAACCTAGTGGGAAAGTTGAGTTACCTTATGCAGATTTAATGTTGGGTGGTGCTCCTTATCATGCTACTTTGTATGGATTTTTTGTGGGGAAAAAGCTTGCTTTCCCAACAGTTAATCATTTTTCTTTTAAGATGTGGAAGATGTATGGGCTGAAGGATATAATGGTGAATGATGAGGGATTTTTTTTCTTCAAGTTTGATTCAAAAGAAGGAATGATGAGTGTGCTGGAGGGAGGTCCATGGTTGATTAACAATGTCCCAATGTTTGTTCAAAGATGGAGGCCAGGTCTAGTTTTGAGTAAACCGCAAATTAATTCAGTTCCTGTATGGGTTAAAGTGTTTAATGTTCCTTTGGAGTATTGGAACAGCAAAGGAATTACGTTGATTGCAAATGAGATTGGGAAACCAATTGCTATGGATAAAATCACTCAAAAAATGTGTAATGAGCACTGGGGAAGGCCAGCTTTCATGCGATTTCTTGTGGAAATGTCAGCAGAATCGGAATGGATGAAAGAATTAAGTGTCGTCTCAATAGATTTTGGGACAGGAGAGAAAGTTGAATCAAAGTGTAGGATAGAGTATGCATGGAGACCTGATATTTGTAGTCATTGCAAAATTTACGGACATAAAAATAACAATTGTGGGATTCTAAATGGAAAAAAGAATGATGGTGTTACTGATGTTGCTGTTGACAGAGAAGAAAATGGGAGAAAAGAGAAAGTGGATGATGATGGGTTCATATTAGTAACAAAGAAAAACAATAAAGGGCAGAAATTTAATACCGGAGTGGTTATTAATGAAGAAGGGAAAGTGGATTTAATCAAATCATTGGAGAAAAGCACCAAACCTGTTTTTGAAGGAATGGTTGTTAGCAATAATGATGAAAGTCTTAAGGATGAGGGTAATCAAGGAATGGAAAAAAGCAAAAAAATTAAAGAACAAGAAAATCAAAAAGGAGGCCAAAATGAAGATCGAAGCAATGAAGGGGTAGAAAATCGGAAGAATGGGGGTAATTTCTCAAAATTTGCTGTGGGTAATCTAAAAAAAGATGGGAAAGAGAAAGGGGTATTTCAGTCAAAAGATGATAAAAGTGGGAGAAAGAATGGGACAGGGGTGTTCATTCCAAAAGAGAAATTAGGAACAAGAGTGAAGAATGTAATTGAAAACTTTAATGCTAAAAAAGATGGAATGCAGGGGAAAAGAGAAGAAAATCAGAAAAAAGTGTATGTTCCTAAGAAGCAAGTGGAGTTAAAAGTGAGTTCTAATTTTGATAATTTAGGTTCTACGTCAGGAAAAATTGATCAAGATGAAATTACAACACAAAACCCATTTGATGTTCTTGCTGATTTGGGTTTAAGAGATATGTCTTATCTTGATGAGATGGATTCGGAGATTTTAACTGGAGGTGGCCAGGAGATAAGCACCGAAAATAAAATTGGTGATTAATGATGATGAATATAGGGTGTTGGAACGTGAGGGGTTCGAATTTAAGACCAAAACAGGAAGAAATAAAAAATGTGATAAGAAGTAATAAGTTGTCGTTGTTTGCTATTCTTGAATCTCAGTTGAGATTTAATAAGTTACAAGCGACTTGTAATAATGTTTTTGGAGCTGGATGTGGATTTCGAATCAAGACATGAGCCCTAAAGGCACTCGCATTATAATTGGATGGGACCCAAATGAAGTTATTGTCATGCCTTTGGATGCTAATAGTCAAGTGATGCATTGTCAAGTCATATTTATCAAGGAGAATAAGAGGTTGTTTTGTTCTTTTGTTTATGGCTGCAATTATTATATAGACAGAAGAAAACTTTGGGATTCATTGGGAAAGCATTATAATTTGGTTGCTGGTCAACCATGGTTGATTGCTGGAGATTTTAATGTTACCAGGGAACTTGTGGATACGATGGCTGGTCATTCTAAAATTTCGAGGGGTATGGTAGAATTTAATGAGTGCATTAATTCTATTGAAGTCCAAGATATAAATAGTAATGGATTGCACTACACATGGAATCAAAGACCACGTGGGGCTTTTGGGGCTTTGAAAAAACTTGATCGTGTGCTTGGGAACCATAAACTGATTGAAGATTTTCCGAATGTGTTTGCTAACTTTCAGCCTTATGGATTTCAGATCATAGCCCTATGATTATCAAATTCCCAATTAAAAGAAAGTTCAGGGTCAGACCGTTCAAGTTTGTTAATTCTCTTGTGCTGCTGGATAATTTTCTGCCCATTGTTGAAAGTGTTTGGAAGACGGATGTTGAAGGATTTGGTATGTTTAGGCTTTGTCAGAAATTAAAGCTTTTAAAGAAACCTCTCAGGAAACTGTTAACTAGTCATGGCAATTTTGCTGAGAAAGTTTCTAAATGCAGAGAAGAATTATGTAGGGTCCAGGAAAGTCTTGATTTGGACCCATGCAATGAAGAGCTGAGATTTGAAGAAGGAATATACCTGCAATCTTTCTTGAATGCTAGCAGGGAAGAGGAGAGTTATTTAAAACAAAGAGCTAAAGTGCATTGGCTTAAGGAGGGAGATTCAAATTCTGCTTACTTTCATAAGGTTGTGAAGGGTAAAATAAACAGAAACAGAATTGAAACAATCCTTGATGGAAATGGAAATTGGAAGGAAGGGGATGAAGCTTTTAAGGTCATTGTGGATTATTTTGGTGAATTTCTTGGAGTTGAACATGGTGTTGTTCCCATTATTAGACCGGAAGATCTTGATTTCAGGAAACTTGACATTCAACAAGCTGTGGATATGATCAAAGATGTTACTGATGAGGAAATTAAGGCTGCCCTCTTTGATATTGATGATGACAAAGCGCCTGGCCCTGATGGTTTTTCTTCTAAATTCTTTAAGAAAGCTTGGATGATAGTGGGGAGTGATTTTTGCTTTGCTGTTAAAGAATTTTTTATCTCAAAAAAGATATTGAAGGAAGTTAATGCTACTGTTATTGCGTTAGTTCCTAAAGTTCAGACACCAGGCAAGGTTGGGGACTATCGGCCAATATCCTGTTGCAATGTGATCTATAAATGCATTAGCAAAGTTATTGTCAACCGCATTAGAGATCATCTTGGATGCTTGGTTTCGGATAATCAATCGGCTTTTATTCCAGGGCGTTCAATATTGGATAATATTTTGTTATCTCAAGAACTTGTCAGAGGGTATCATATTAATAGGGGCTTTGCTAGGTGTGCTATGAAAGTTGATATTCAAAAAGCGTATGATACAGTTAATTGGTGTTTTTTACGGAACATATTGAAAGAGTTTGGATTTCATGAATTTATGATAACTTGGATTATGAATTGTGTTACTACTTCCTCTTTTATGATCAATATAAATGGAAGTTTTCATGGGTTTTTCCAAGGAAAGAGAGGCCTCAGACAAGGTTGCCCTTTATCTCCTTACCTCTTCACACTTGTTATGGAGGTGTTTAATTTAATGCTTAAAAGGAGAATAAAGGAATGTAGAGATTTTAAATACCATTGGAGATGTAAAGAACAGGAGCTTACCCATTTATGTTTTGCTGATGACCTGATGGTTTTTTGTCACGGAAATTCTGAATCTATAAAAGTGATCAAGAAGACGATGGATGAATTTGCAAATGCTGCGGGTCTTGTGCCAAACCTTGCTAAAAGCCACATATTTTTTGGGAATGTTAAGGGGCCGTTTAAAAGGAAAATTTTGAGGATCCTCCCGTTTGTTGAAGGGAAATTGCCCATGAAGTATCTTGGTATTCCTTTGGTGTCTACTAAGTTATTTATTAGAGACTGCAAGGGTCTTGTTGATAAAGTGAAGCGTAAAGTTAATGATTGGAAGAATAAGTCTCTATCTTACGCGGGTAGACTCCAATTAATTAGTGCTGTGCTTTCGTCTATCCCTGTGTATTGGGCTTCAGCTGTGTTATTACCAAAGGGCATCACTAAAGAAATTGAAAAAATTATGAGGAATTTCCTTTGGAATAGTGGTCAAAATGGAAAGGGAGTTGCTAAGGTGTCTTGGATTGAAATTTGCAAACCTAAGGTTTATGGCGGTCTTGGGTTAAAAAATCTTAATGATTGGAACATTGCCCTTCTTTCCAGCAGAATTTGGAATATCATAAGTGGGAAGAACTCTTTATGGGTCAAATGGGTTAAGTTCTATCTTCTCGAAGGGAGAAGCTTCTGGGAAGTGGGTTTAAAAGACAAAGTAAGCTGGAGTTGGAGAAACTTAATGAAAATTCGACCTTGTGTTCGGGATTTTTTTGTTAGTCAGCTTGGAAATGGAAAGGATACAAACATGTGGTTTGATAACTGGCACCAATTGTGTCCTTTGGGTTATGTTCTTTCGCATAGGGAAATTACTAATGCTGGATATAACATAAGGGATACAGTTAGTGATGTTATTGGTGAAGGGAACTGGAGCTGGCCTGCTGAATGGCTTGAAATGATCCCTCAGTTAAGTGATTTTCTTATGCCAAGACTTGTTGCAGAGAAAAAGGATGAGGTTCATTGGAGGAATCATAAAGGTACAATTGTCCCATTTGCAGTTAATCAGGTTTCTTCTTCTCTTATTTGCCATGAGTCAACTGTCAAATGGTATCACCTGGTTTGGTTCCAAAACAGAATCCCAAGTCATTGTTTTATACTTTGGCTTGCTATTCTGGGAAGGCTTAGAACGCAGGACAGAATGAAGAAATGGAAAGATTCTAATGAGTTTAGCTGTGTTTTTTGCAAATCTCAATTGGATTCTCATTCTCATCTATTTTTTTATTGTAATTTCTCCAAAGATGTTTGGAAGCTGATGAAAAATAAGGTGGAAATAAAGCATAATACTGGCAATTGGTTTGAAATTATTGTTGAACTTCAAGATTTGCTAAAAAAGAAAAATATTAATAACTTCATTAAAAAAATAGCTTTGGCGGCTTCTGTTTATCATATATGGAATGAAAGGAATAAAAGGTTGTTTGGGAAACAGAGCAATTCAGTGGATAATGTGGTTAAATTTATCACAGAAGACATTCGACTGAAGATGTCTAGCCTTAAATTGGGTTATCTTGGGCTTAATGCAGAAATTTGCAAGCAGTGGAATGTCTCAGTTAAAAATGAAGATTATGTCCATGAAAGAAGAAATTAAGTTGAGAAGAGGGTTATGCGTTAATGTGGTAGGGTGGCTGAATTGGAATTGGAGGCAGGAAAGAAATTATGGAATGCGATTGGTGGAAATAACGAAGATTGAAAATAAAAACGGAATTTCAAACTTTTTGGTCAAAGGGCATTTTCGTCAAGGGTGGAATTTTAATAAATTGGATGAATTAATAGAGTTTGGCTTGAGTATTAAAGATTTCGACTGTATATCTGATTGGAAGGATCGGAAGGAGGTGAAATTGAAGAATAAAAACCGCAATTGTTTAATTCTTGAACAGGGGCTGTTTGGGTATCGGATTGATAAAGGAGCGACAGGGCTGTTTCATATTTTTGGTGATAATTTCAATTACTCAGGATGGAATAAGTGCATGCGAGTTAGTGGTTTTTATCACAAAGAAGGGAAAGATTTAAACAGGGACAGATTGCGATTCATTTTAATTGACTGTGAAGATGGAATTTGGGAGGTAGGGTATTTCGGTAATTATGATTCATGTTGGTTCTTCAGTATGTCTAGAAATATGTATGGGAGAGAGGATAAAAGGAAGGATTTTAACAACAAAGAGAGTATAAGGAAATGGATTAAAGGGTATATTAGGCAAAATTGGAAGGAAAATAAAAAGGATCATCTTTTTGTGAATTGCTTGATCGTTTTTGTGTATGGCTTTTTAATTTTTTTGGAGGATTGGATGAAGATTGATCTGAAGAATAAAGGGATGATGGATAATTTTGTGTTCCAGGTTGTTAGTCGCAGGGCTGGTTGGTTGGAAAACAATATTCTCTATTATGATTGTTATTATTTGGTGGAAAGTATAAAGGAATGGGGGTATTTTGGGCATAGTTTAATTGTTGGTGGAGATGGAAATTGGAGGGAGTTGGTTGTGGATAGGAGTAAGGGTAATATTGGAAATCTTAATTGGGTTGAAGACTTATTGAATTTTGGCTGCGTTATCATTTATGAAAGAAGATGGGGTGAAGGGCAATATGGTCAAACTTATGTGTTGAGTTTTTTCTGTTGTTATTTGGTGAAAATTTTTTGGAGTTTGGATAGGGTCAATAAAAAGAAGAAGAAAAGAGATCAAATTAAAATGATTGATTTGAGATGTAACAGAAAAATGATTCTTATGTTGATCAAAGGGCAAAAGTGGAATTATTGGAGATGGGTGAATTCTGGTTTCTATGAAGGAGTTTATGTCCAATATTTTTACAAAGGAATTGACGGTAATGGGATTTTTACCAATTTTTCCCTTAAAATTGGATTGCAATTTGGTTTAATCCCAAGTATCATTTGGGTCATACCTTATGATGTGGCTACTTCCCATCATTATATGGAATTTATTTTCATTTATTGGGAAATCCCGCCTTGGAAACAAGGTGTGTATTTTCGAGGAATTGACGGATTTGGGAGTTTTATCATTTTTTCCCTTAAAAATGAATTGCATCTCGGTTTGATCCCGAGTTTCATAAGAATTTTTTCTTGTGAAGTGGAATTTAAAAAAGTGCATATGGGTAATATCCCCATAAGTTGTGTTTTTTATCCTATTCATTTAGGATTCTCCACAATTGTGGGTGCCACTACTGGTTCGATCAGTAAGTGGTGGGATATTCACCCGTCAATAACCAGGCTTGGGTACGTCATCCTTAGACTGTACCACCAATTTTTTGACATTTTTTGGGTAACAAAATGTCACTCTTTGTCCGGTTCAAATCCGGAAACTTTAGTTGGTTGGTTTTCCCTCTTTTTCCATAAAAAGAATAAAAATCTTGGTTCAAGTCCAAGTAGTATAGTCATGTGGTTTGCCCCATTTTTCCAAAAATGGATGTTCTTTACCGGTTCAAATCCGGACTATTTAGTTGGCTGGTTTTTCTTCTTTTTCCATAAAAAGAACTTAAATCTTGGTTCAATTCCAAGTAGTTTAGTCATGTGGTTGGCCCCTTTTTTCCAAAAAAGGATGAATTTATCCGGTTCAAATCCGGGAATTATAGTTTGGTTTTCTAACTTTTTCCGTAAAAAGTTCAAAAATCTTGGTTCAATTCCAAGTAATTTAGTGGGTGGGTTTTATGATTTTATCCATAAAAAATCAAGAGATGGGATTTGTGTTAAAAGAGCATGGGTGATGATGGTTGATGAAGACAATTGGAATGGAATGTTGGAAAAGCGTTATAATCAAAGAAGGTCGGTTGAAGAGAAAAAGAATAGGAAGATTGTGAATAAAGATAATAGAGAGGATGATAATTTGGCTTGTTATAGCAACATACTTTTGAGGTACATAAAAGATAATAAAGATACAAGGGAGAAGAAGAGAAAGAAGATTGCTATTTTGGAGTCTTTTGGCAATGGGAAGGTAGAAACTATGTGCATTTTTGTGTGGAGATTTTGGGATATTGGTGTTCATAGGACTAGTGTTATTATTGACACTTGGATAAGGAGCATGTATAGAGATGGCATTTTTGAAGACTGGAAGAAGAAATGGAGTATTCACTTCGAGTACGAGCGGGAAATTGAAGACCACTCCGGGTTGTGGAGTTGGAATAGAATAATTTGTACTTTCTTTGTTTATATTGTCATTAGGGTTAGCATTTGGTTTTGGTATCTTAGAGATATTTGGATTTTGGTCTTGTTTGGGGTCATTTTTGGGGTTTGTCCAAAAATGACATAACTCTTGTTATTTTTTTTTTTTTTTCGTGTTTATAAAATCTTTGCCGGGGCTTCGGCCTCTTTCCCAAAAAAAAAAACCCTAAACCCTAAACCCTAAACCCTAAACCCTAAACCCTAAACCCTAAACCCTAAACCCTAAACCCTTAAGGCCTAAACCCTAAACCCTAAACCCTAAACCCTAAACCCTAAACCCTAAACCCTAAACTGTAAACCCTAAACCCTAAACCCTAAACCCGAAATCCTAAACCCTAAACCCTAAACCCGAAACTTGAAACCCTAATCCCTAAACCCTAAACCCGAAACCCGAAACCCGAAACCCTAAACCCTAAACCCTAAACCCTAAACCCTAAACCCTAAACCCTAAACACTAAACCCTAAACCTTAAACCCTAAACCCTAAACCCTAAACCTAAGTCATTTGCTAAAATTTTTTCTCTCTCTAACTTTCTCTCTCTAAGATTTTCTCTTGTTTGTTCCTGTTTTCGCGAGTGACTTGCCGGGAATCCTGGTTGATCGGAGCTCTTACTGGTGCTGGAATTTCCTCCTTCCTTGATTAGATTTGCTCTATAACCATTTTCAATTGTTTGTGCGATTGGAGGTGGGATGTTCGGGAAAATTGGAAATATGTTCGGCATGAATTACACTGATCCTCCTGATCCGGCTAACAAAAAATTGTACGAAGATGAATTGGAAGCTGATGTTGGAGCTAGACGAAGAGGAAGAAGAGCGGTACACAAGGAATTTTCACCATACTCTGTGATTAAACCTTTACGATTGAAAGACAAAATGGAAGCTAATGCTAATCGGTTACGGGAAGAAAAGAAATATTTGAATTCGAAATCAATTGCTGATGGTTCGAAGGCTGTTCTATGAGCTGGAATACGTGAGCTAATCAAATCAAGCTATGGAAAAGAAAATGTCGATCCAGAATTTATCAAATCGGAATTGGATGCATTGGATAAGGTGATTGCTGATGAGAAAAAAGTGGAAGAAGAAAACGGATTTGTGTTGCTTCAAGTCACTTCAGATATGATTAAGGGATTCAATTCTTCTAAGAATTCGGGGGTTGGGTTGTCTTCTTCGTCTCCTGTTACTCAAACGAACACTGGAACCGTAATTGGAACAAATAGTGACAAGGGTATTTTGGGTAAGTCTCCTGCTACTCAAACGATCCCTGTTAATTCTGTTCTTCCTTTGATGTCTAATGCTAAACAAAAGGATATAATTAATCACCCTATTATATGAAATGATGAAGATATGAAAGACTCAATGAATGAGAATGGGAATTTGGAAATTGATTATGGTAATAATATGAAGAAGGAACAGGGAGCTAATTTCTTGAACATGGATTTTTCGAAACCTGTTATATCCCCTGCAGCTAAGTTGGTTAGTGATTACAAAAAAAATCTTATCCTCGTATGGTTGAATCAACAAATACTGTGGTGGATCTTAATATCAAAGTAATTCCAAAAGTTGATGGGAAGCCTAATGGGAAAGTTGAGTTGCCTTATGCAGATTTAATGTTGGGTGGTGCCCCTTATCATGCAACTTTGTATGGGTTTTTTGTGGGCAAAAAACTTGCGTTTCCAACTGTTAATCACTTCTCTTTTAAGATGTGGAAGATTTTTGGGCTGAAGGATATAATGGTAAATGATGAAGGATTCTTTTTCTTTAAGTTTGATTCAAAGGAAGGCATGATGAGTGTGCTGGAGGGAGGTCCATGGCTGATTAATAATGTACCTATGTTCGTTCAAAGATGGAGGCCTGGTCTTGTGCTGAGTAAACCGCAAATGAATTCTGTCCCTGTGTGGGTAAAAGTATTTAATGTTCATTTGGAATATTGGAACAGCAAGGGAATAACTTTGATTGCTAATGAAATTGGGAAACCAATTGCTATGGATAAAATAACGCAGAAAATGTGTAATGAACATTGGGGAAGGCCAGCTTTTATGAGGTTTCTTGTGGAAATATCAGCAGAATTTGAATGGATGAAGGAACTAAGTGTAGTCTCAATTGACTTTGGGACAGGAGAAAAAGTTGAATCAAAATGCAAGATAGAGTATGCGTGGAGGCATGATATTTGTAATCACTGCAAAGTTTATGGGCATAAGAATAGTAATTGTGGGATTTTAAATAGCATGAAAAATGATAATGTTGCTGATGAGACTGTTAATTCTGGAAAAAATGGGAAAAAAGAGCAAGTTGATGATGATGGTTTTATCTTAGTCACAAAGAAAAACAATAAAGGACAGAAGGTTAGTCCAGGTGTGGTTATTAATGAAAATGGCAAAGTTGATTTGATTAAGTCCTTGGAGAAAAGTACAATCCCTGTTAGTGAAGGAGTTAATATTGGCAGCAATGAAGGAAGTTCAAAAGAGATGGGTGATCAAGGAAAAAATAAAAACAAACAAATTGAAGAACAAGAAAATCAAAAGGGAGCTCAAAAAGAAGATCGAATCAGTAAAGGGGTTGAAAATCGGAATAATGGGGGTAATTTTTCGAAATATGCTGTGGGCAATATCAAAAAAGATGGGAAAGAGAAAGGGGTATTTCAGTCAAAAGAGGGCAAAAGTGGGAAACTGAATGGTACAGGGGTGTTTATCCCAAAAGAAAAGTTGGGGACAAGAGTGAAGAATGTAATTGAAAATTTTAATGCTAGAAAAGAAGGAATGCAGGTGAAAAAAGAAGAAAATCAGAAAAAGGTGTATGTTCCTAAGAAGCAAGTGGATTTTAAAGTTAGTTCTAACTTTGATAATATAGGTTCTACTTCTGGAAAAGATGATCAAGATGAGATAATATCACAAAACCCTTTTGATGTTCTTGCTGATTTGGGATTAAGGGATATGTCTTATTTAGATGAAATTGACCAGGAGATTTTAACTGGTGGTGGCCAGGAGACAGTCACTGAAAAAATAACTGTTGTTCAATGATGATGAATATAGGTTGCTGGAATGTGAGGGGTTCTAATTAAAGGCCTAAACCCTAAACCCTAAACCCTAAACCCTAAACCCTAAACCCTAAACCCTAAACCCTAAACCCTAAACCCTAAACTGTAAACCCTAAACCCTAAACCCTAAACCCGAAATCCTAAACCCTAAACCCTAAACCCGAAACTTGAAACCCTAATCCCTAAACCCTAAACCCGAAACCCGAAACCCGAAACCCTAAACCCTAAACCCTAAACCCTAAACCCTAAACCCTAAACCCTAAACACTAAACCCTAAACCTTAAACCCTAAACCCTAAACCCTAAACCTAAGTCATTTGCTAAAATTTTTTCTCTCTCTAACTTTCTCTCTCTAAGATTTTCTCTTGTTTGTTCCTGTTTTCGCGAGTGACTTGCCGGGAATCCTGGTTGATCGGAGCTCTTACTGGTGCTGGAATTTCCTCCTTCCTTGATTAGATTTGCTCTATAACCATTTTCAATTGTTTGTGCGATTGGAGGTGGGATGTTCGGGAAAATTGGAAATATGTTCGGCATGAATTACACTGATCCTCCTGATCCGGCTAACAAAAAATTGTACGAAGATGAATTGGAAGCTGATGTTGGAGCTAGACGAAGAGGAAGAAGAGCGGTACACAAGGAATTTTCACCATACTCTGTGATTAAACCTTTACGATTGAAAGACAAAATGGAAGCTAATGCTAATCGGTTACGGGAAGAAAAGAAATATTTGAATTCGAAATCAATTGCTGATGGTTCGAAGGCTGTTCTATGAGCTGGAATACGTGAGCTAATCAAATCAAGATATGGAAAAGAAAATGTCGATCCAGAATTTATCAAATCGGAATTGGATGCATTGGATAAGGTGATTGCTGATGAGAAAAAAGTGGAAGAAGAAAACGGATTTGTGTTGCTTCAAGTCACTTCAGATATGATTAAGGGATTCAATTCTTCTAAGAATTCGGGGGTTGGGTTGTCTTCTTCGTCTCCTGTTACTCAAACGAACACTGGAACCGTAATTGGAACAAATAGTGACAAGGGTATTTTGGGTAAGTCTCCTGCTACTCAAACGATCCCTGTTAATTCTGTTCTTCCTTTGATGTCTAATGCTAAACAAAAGGATATAATTAATCACCCTATTATATGAAATGATGAAGATATGAAAGACTCAATGAATGAGAATGGGAATTTGGAAATTGATTATGGTAATAATATGAAGAAGGAACAGGGAGCTAATTTCTTGAACATGGATTTTTCGAAACCTGTTATATCCCCTGCAGCTAAGTTGGTTAGTGATTACAAAAAAAAATCTTATCCTCGTATGGTTGAATCAACAAATACTGTGGTGGATCTTAATATCAAAGTAATTCCAAAAGTTGATGGGAAGCCTAATGGGAAAGTTGAGTTGCCTTATGCAGATTTAATGTTGGGTGGTGCCCCTTATCATGCAACTTTGTATGGGGTTTTTGTGGGCAAAAAACTTGCGTTTCCAACTGTTAATCACTTCTCTTTTAAGATGTGGAAGATTTTTGGGCTGAAGGATATAATGGTAAATGATGAAGGATTCTTTTTCTTTAAGTTTGATTCAAAGGAAGGCATGATGAGTGTGCTGGAGGGAGGTCCATGGCTGATTAATAATGTACCTATGTTCGTTCAAAGATGGAGGCCTGGTCTTGTGCTGAGTAAACCGCAAATGAATTCTGTCCCTGTGTGGGTAAAAGTATTTAATGTTCATTTGGAATATTGGAACAGCAAGGGAATAACTTTGATTGCTAATGAAATTGGGAAACCAATTGCTATGGATAAAATAACGCAGAAAATGTGTAATGAACATTGGGGAAGGCCAGCTTTTATGAGGTTTCTTGTGGAAATATCAGCAGAATTTGAATGGATGAAGGAACTAAGTGTAGTCTCAATTGACTTTGGGACAGGAGAAAAAGTTGAATCAAAATGCAAGATAGAGTATGCGTGGAGGCATGATATTTGTAATCACTGCAAAGTTTATGGGCATAAGAATATAATTGTGGGATTTTAAATAGCATGAAAAATGATAATGTTGCTGATGAGACTGTTAATTCTGGAAAAAATGGGAAAAAAGAGCAAGTTGATGATGATGGTTTTATCTTAGTCACAAAGAAAAACAATAAAGGACAGAAGGTTAGTCCAGGTGTGGTTATTAATGAAAATGGCAAAGTTGATTTGATTAAGTCCTTGGAGAAAAGTACAATCCCTGTTAGTGAAGGAGTTAATATTGGCAGCAATGAAGGAAGTTCAAAAGAGATGGGTGATCAAGGAAAAAATAAAAACAAACAAATTGAAGAACAAGAAAATCAAAAGGGAGCTCAAAAAGAAGATCGAATCAGTAAAGGGGTTGAAAATCGGAATAATGGGGGTAATTTTTCGAAATTGCTGTGGGCAATATCAAAAAAGATGGGAAAGAGAAAGGGTATTTCAGTCAAAAGAGGGCAAAAGTGGGAAACTGAATGGTACAGGGGTGTTTATCCCAAAATAAAGTTGGGGACAAGAGTGAAGAATGTAATTGAAAATTTTAATGCTAGAAAAGAAGGAATGCAGGTGAAAAAAGAAGAAAATCAGAAAAAGGTGTATGTTCCTAAGAAGCAAGTGGATTTTAAAGTTAGTTCTAACTTTGATAATATAGGTTCTACTTCTGGAAAAGATGATCAAGATGAGATAATATCACAAAACCCTTTTGATGTTCTTGCTGATTTGGGATTAAGGGATATGTCTTATTTAGATGAAATTGACCAGGAGATTTTAACTGGTGGTGGCCAGGAGACAGTCACTGAAAAAATAACTGTTGTTCAATGATGATGAATATAGGTTGCTGGAATGTGAGGGGTTCTAATTAAAGGCCTAAACCCTAAACCCTAAACCCTAAACCCTAAACCCTAAACTGTAAACCCTAAACCCTAAACCCTAAACCCGAAATCCTAAACCCTAAACCCTAAACCCGAAACTTGAAACCCTAATCCCTAAACCCTAAACCCGAAACCCGAAACCCGAAACCCTAAACCCTAAACCCTAAACCCTAAACCCTAAACCCTAAACCCTAAACACTAAACCCTAAACCTTAAACCCTAAACCCTAAACCCTAAACCTAAGTCATTTGCTAAAATTTTTTCTCTCTCTAACTTTCTCTCTCTAAGATTTTCTCTTGTTTGTTCCTGTTTTCGCGAGTGACTTGCCGGGAATCCTGGTTGATCGGAGCTCTTACTGGTGCTGGAATTTCCTCCTTCCTTGATTAGATTTGCTCTATAACCATTTTCAATTGTTTGTGCGATTGGAGGTGGGATGTTCGGGAAAATTGGAAATATGTTCGGCATGAATTACACTGATCCTCCTGATCCGGCTAACAAAAAATTGTACGAAGATGAATTGGAAGCTGATGTTGGAGCTAGACGAAGAGGAAGAAGAGCGGTACACAAGGAATTTTCACCATACTCTGTGATTAAACCTTTACGATTGAAAGACAAAATGGAAGCTAATGCTAATCGGTTACGGGAAGAAAAGAAATATTTGAATTCGAAATCAATTGCTGATGGTTCGAAGGCTGTTCTATGAGCTGGAATACGTGAGCTAATCAAATCAAGCTATGGAAAAGAAAATGTCGATCCAGAATTTATCAAATCGGAATTGGATGCATTGGATAAGGTGATTGCTGATGAGAAAAAAGTGGAAGAAGAAAACGGATTTGTGTTGCTTCAAGTCACTTCAGATATGATTAAGGGATTCAATTCTTCTAAGAATTCGGGGGTTGGGTTGTCTTCTTCGTCTCCTGTTACTCAAACGAACACTGGAACCGTAATTGGAACAAATAGTGACAAGGGTATTTTGGGTAAGTCTCCTGCTACTCAAACGATCCCTGTTAATTCTGTTCTTCCTTTGATGTCTAATGCTAAACAAAAGGATATAATTAATCACCCTATTATATGAAATGATGAAGATATGAAAGACTCAATGAATGAGAATGGGAATTTGGAAATTGATTATGGTAATAATATGAAGAAGGAACAGGGAGCTAATTTCTTGAACATGGATTTTTCGAAACCTGTTATATCCCCTGCAGCTAAGTTGGTTAGTGATTACAAAAAAAAATCTTATCCTCGTATGGTTGAATCAACAAATACTGTGGTGGATCTTAATATCAAAGTAATTCCAAAAGTTGATGGGAAGCCTAATGGGAAAGTTGAGTTGCCTTATGCAGATTTAATGTTGGGTGGTGCCCCTTATCATGCAACTTTGTATGGGTTTTTTGTGGGCAAAAAACTTGCGTTTCCAACTGTTAATCACTTCTCTTTTAAGATGTGGAAGATTTTTGGGCTGAAGGATATAATGGTAAATGATGAAGGATTCTTTTTCTTTAAGTTTGATTCAAAGGAAGGCATGATGAGTGTGCCGGAGGGAGGTCCATGGCTGATTAATAATGTACCTATGTTCGTTCAAAGATGGAGGCCTGGTCTTGTGCTGAGTAAACCGCAAATGAATTCTGTCCCTGTGTGGGTAAAAGTATTTAATGTTCATTTGGAATATTGGAACAGCAAGGGAATAACTTTGATTGCTAATGAAATTGGGAAACCAATTGCTATGGATAAAATAACGCAGAAAATGTGTAATGAACATTGGGGAAGGCCAGCTTTTATGAGGTTTCTTGTGGAAATATCAGCAGAATTTGAATGGATGAAGGAACTAAGTGTAGTCTCAATTGACTTTGGGACAGGAGAAAAAGTTGAATCAAAATGCAAGATAGAGTATGCGTGGAGGCATGATATTTGTAATCACTGCAAAGTTTATGGGCATAAGAATAGTAATTGTGGGATTTTAAATAGCATGAAAAATGATAATGTTGCTGATGAGACTGTTAATTCTGGAAAAAATGGGAAAAAAGAGCAAGTTGATGATGATGGTTTTATCTTAGTCACAAAGAAAAACAATAAAGGACAGAAGGTTAGTCCAGGTGTGGTTATTAATGAAAATGGCAAAGTTGATTTGATTAAGTCCTTGGAGAAAAGTACAATCCCTGTTAGTGAAGGAGTTAATATTGGCAGCAATGAAGGAAGTTCAAAAGAGATGGGTGATCAAGGAAAAAATAAAAACAAACAAATTGAAGAACAAGAAAATCAAAAGGGAGCTCAAAAAGAAGATCGAATCAGTAAAGGGGTTGAAAATCGGAATAATGGGGGTAATTTTTCGAAATATGCTGTGGGCAATATCAAAAAAGATGGGAAAGAGAAAGGGGTATTTCAGTCAAAAGAGGGCAAAAGTGGGAAACTGAATGGTACAGGGGTGTTTATCCCAAAAGAAAAGTTGGGGACAAGAGTGAAGAATGTAATTGAAAATTTTAATGCTAGAAAAGAAGGAATGCAGGTGAAAAAAGAAGAAAATCAGAAAAAGGTGTATGTTCCTAAGAAGCAAGTGGATTTTAAAGTTAGTTCTAACTTTGATAATATAGGTTCTACTTCTGGAAAAGATGATCAAGATGAGATAATATCACAAAACCCTTTTGATGTTCTTGCTGATTTGGGATTAAGGGATATGTCTTATTTAGATGAAATTGACCAGGAGATTTTAACTGGTGGTGGCCAGGAGACAGTCACTGAAAAAATAACTGTTGTTCAATGATGATGAATATAGGTTGCTGGAATGTGAGGGGTTCTAATTAAAGGCCTAAACCCTAAACCCTAAACCCTAAACCCTAAACCCTAAACCCTAAACCCTAAACCCTAAACTGTAAACCCTAAACCCTAAACCCTAAACCCGAAATCCTAAACCCTAAACCCTAAACCCGAAACTTGAAACCCTAATCCCTAAACCCTAAACCCGAAACCCGAAACCCTAAACCCTAAACCCTAAACCCTAAACCCTAAACCCTAAACCCTAAACCCTAAACCTTAAACCCTAAACCCTAAACCCTAAACCTAAGTCATTTGCTAAAATTTTTTCTCTCTCTAACTTTCTCTCTCTAAGATTTTCTCTTGTTTGTTCCTGTTTTCGCGAGTGACTTGCCGGGAATCCTGGTTGATCGGAGCTCTTACTGGTGCTGGAATTTCCTCCTTCCTTGATTAGATTTGCTCTATAACCATTTTCAATTGTTTGTGCGATTGGAGGTGGGATGTTCGGGAAAATTGGAAATATGTTCGGCATGAATTACACTGATCCTCCTGATCCGGCTAACAAAAAATTGTACGAAGATGAATTGGAAGCTGATGTTGGAGCTAGACGAAGAGGAAGAAGAGCGGTACACAAGGAATTTTCACCATACTCTGTGATTAAACCTTTACGATTGAAAGACAAAATGGAAGCTAATGCTAATCGGTTACGGGAAGAAAAGAAATATTTGAATTCGAAATCAATTGCTGATGGTTCGAAGGCTGTTCTATGAGCTGGAATACGTGAGCTAATCAAATCAAGCTATGGAAAAGAAAATGTCGATCCAGAATTTATCAAATCGGAATTGGATGCATTGGATAAGGTGATTGCTGATGAGAAAAAAGTGGAAGAAGAAAACGGATTTGTGTTGCTTCAAGTCACTTCAGATATGATTAAGGGATTCAATTCTTCTAAGAATTCGGGGGTTGGGTTGTCTTCTTCGTCTCCTGTTACTCAAACGAACACTGGAACCGTAATTGGAACAAATAGTGACAAGGGTATTTTGGGTAAGTCTCCTGCTACTCAAACGATCCCTGTTAATTCTGTTCTTCCTTTGATGTCTAATGCTAAACAAAAGGATATAATTAATCACCCTATTATATGAAATGATGAAGATATGAAAGACTCAATGAATGAGAATGGGAATTTGGAAATTGATTATGGTAATAATATGAAGAAGGAACAGGGAGCTAATTTCTTGAACATGGATTTTTCGAAACCTGTTATATCCCCTGCAGCTAAGTTGGTTAGTGATTACAAAAAAAAATCTTATCCTCGTATGGTTGAATCAACAAATACTGTGGTGGATCTTAATATCAAAGTAATTCCAAAAGTTGATGGGAAGCCTAATGGGAAAGTTGAGTTGCCTTATGCAGATTTAATGTTGGGTGGTGCCCCTTATCATGCAACTTTGTATGGGTTTTTTGTGGGCAAAAACTTGCGTTTCCAACTGTTAATCACTTCTCTTTTAAGATGTGGAAGATTTTTGGGCTGAAGGATATAATGGTAAATGATGAAGGATTCTTTTTCTTTAAGTTTGATTCAAAGGAAGGCATGATGAGTGTGCTGGAGGGAGGTCCATGGCTGATTAATAATGTACCTATGTTCGTTCAAAGATGGAGGCCTGGTCTTGTGCTGAGTAAACCGCAAATGAATTCTGTCCCTGTGTGGGTAAAAGTATTTAATGTTCATTTGGAATATTGGAACAGCAAGGGAATAACTTTGATTGCTAATGAAATTGGGAAACCAATTGCTATGGATAAAATAACGCAGAAAATGTGTAATGAACATTGGGGAAGGCCAGCTTTTATGAGGTTTCTTGTGGAAATATCAGCAGAATTTGAATGGATGAAGGAACTAAGTGTAGTCTCAATTGACTTTGGGACAGGAGAAAAAGTTGAATCAAAATGCAAGATAGAGTATGCGTGGAGGCATGATATTTGTAATCACTGCAAAGTTTATGGGCATAAGAATAGTAATTGTGGGATTTTAAATAGCATGAAAAATGATAATGTTGCTGATGAGACTGTTAATTCTGGAAAAAATGGGAAAAAAGAGCAAGTTGATGATGATGGTTTTATCTTAGTCACAAAGAAAAACAATAAAGGACAGAAGGTTAGTCCAGGTGTGGTTATTAATGAAAATGGCAAAGTTGATTTGATTAAGTCCTTGGAGAAAAGTACAATCCCTGTTAGTGAAGGAGTTAATATTGGCAGCAATGAAGGAAGTTCAAAAGAGATGGGTGATCAAGGAAAAAATAAAAACAAACAAATTGAAGAACAAGAAAATCAAAAGGGAGCTCAAAAAGAAGATCGAATCAGTAAAGGGGTTGAAAATCGGAATAATGGGGGTAATTTTTCGAAATTGCTGTGGGCAATATCAAAAAAGATGGGAAAGAGAAAGGGGTATTTCAGTCAAAAGAGGGCAAAAGTGGGAAAATGAATGGTACAGGGGTGTTTATCCCAAAAGAAAAGTTGGGGACAAGAGTGAAGAATGTAATTGAAAATTTTAATGCTAGAAAAGAAGGAATGCAAGGGAAAAAAGAAGAAAATCAGAAAAAGGTGTATGTTCCTAAGAAGCAAGTGGATTTTAAAGTTAGTTCTAACTTTGATAATATAGGTTCTACTTCTGGAAAAGATGATCAAGATGAGATAATATCACAAAACCCTTTTGATGTTCTTGCTGATTTGGGATTAAGGGATATGTCTTATTTAGATGAAATTGACCAGGAGATTTTAACTGGTGGTGGCCAGGAGACAGTCACTGAAAAAATAACTGTTGTTCAATGATGATGAATATAGGTTGCTGGAATGTGAGGGGTTCTAATTTAAGGCCTAAACCCTAAACCCTAAACCCTTAACCCTAAACCCTAAACCCTAAACTGTAAACCCTAAACCCTAAACCCTAAACCCGAAATCCTAAACCCTAAACCCTAAACCCGAAACTTGAAACCCTAATCCCTAAACCCTAAACCCGAAACCCGAAACCCGAAACCCTAAACCCTAAACCCTAAATCCTAAACCCTAAACACTAAACCCTAAACCTTAAACCCTAAACCCTAAACCCTAAACCTAAGTCATTTGCTAAAATTTTTTCTCTCTCTAACTTTCTCTCTCTAAGATTTTCTCTTGTTTGTTCCTGTTTTCGCGAGTGACTTGCCGGGAATCCTGGTTGATCGGAGCTCTTACTGGTGCTGGAATTTCCTCCTTCCTTGATTAGATTTGCTCTATAACCATTTTCAATTGTTTGTGCGATTGGAGGTGGGATGTTCGGGAAAATTGGAAATATGTTCGGCATGAATTACACTGATCCTCCTGATCCGGCTAACAAAAAATTGTACGAAGATGAATTGGAAGCTGATGTTGGAGCTAGACGAAGAGGAAGAAGAGCGGTACACAAGGAATTTTCACCATACTCTGTGATTAAACCTTTACGATTGAAAGACAAAATGGAAGCTAATGCTAATCGGTTACGGGAAGAAAAGAAATATTTGAATTCGAAATCAATTGCTGATGGTTCGAAGGCTGTTCTATGAGCTGGAATACGTGAGCTAATCAAATCAAGATATGGAAAAGAAAATGTCGATCCAGAATTTATCAAATCGGAATTGGATGCATTGGATAAGGTGATTGCTGATGAGAAAAAAGTGGAAGAAGAAAACGGATTTGTGTTGCTTCAAGTCACTTCAGATATGATTAAGGGATTCAATTCTTCTAAGAATTCGGGGGTTGGGTTGTCTTCTTCGTCTCCTGTTACTCAAACGAACACTGGAACCGTAATTGGAACAAATAGTGACAAGGGTATTTTGGGTAAGTCTCCTGCTACTCAAACGATCCCTGTTAATTCTGTTCTTCCTTTGATGTCTAATGCTAAACAAAAGGATATAATTAATCACCCTATTATATGAAATGATGAAGATATGAAAGACTCAATGAATGAGAATGGGAATTTGGAAATTGATTATGGTAATAATATGAAGAAGGAACAGGGAGCTAATTTCTTGAACATGGATTTTTCGAAACCTGTTATATCCCCTGCAGCTAAGTTGGTTAGTGATTACAAAAAAAAATCTTATCCTCGTATGGTTGAATCAACAAATACTGTGGTGGATCTTAATATCAAAGTAATTCCAAAAGTTGATGGGAAGCCTAATGGGAAAGTTGAGTTGCCTTATGCAGATTTAATGTTGGGTGGTGCCCCTTATCATGCAACTTTGTATGGGTTTTTTGTGGGCAAAAAACTTGCGTTTCCAACTGTTAATCACTTCTCTTTTAAGATGTGGAAGATTTTTGGGCTGAAGGATATAATGGTAAATGATGAAGGATTCTTTTTCTTTAAGTTTGATTCAAAGGAAGGCATGATGAGTGTGCCGGAGGGAGGTCCATGGCTGATTAATAATGTACCTATGTTCGTTCAAAGATGGAGGCCTGGTCTTGTGCTGAGTAAACCGCAAATGAATTCTGTCCCTGTGTGGGTAAAAGTATTTAATGTTCATTTGGAATATTGGAACAGCAAGGGAATAACTTTGATTGCTAATGAAATTGGGAAACCAATTGCTATGGATAAAATAACGCAGAAAATGTGTAATGAACATTGGGGAAGGCCAGCTTTTATGAGGTTTCTTGTGGAAATATCAGCAGAATTTGAATGGATGAAGGAACTAAGTGTAGTCTCAATTGACTTTGGGACAGGAGAAAAGTTGAATCAAAATGCAAGATAGAGTATGCGTGGAGGCATGATATTTGTAATCACTGCAAAGTTTATGGGCATAAGAATAGTAATTGTGGGATTTTAAATAGCATGAAAAATGATAATGTTGCTGATGAGACTGTTAATTCTGGAAAAAATGGGAAAAAAGAGCAAGTTGATGATGATGGTTTTATCTTAGTCACAAAGAAAAACAATAAAGGACAGAAGGTTAGTCCAGGTGTGGTTATTAATGAAAATGGCAAAGTTGATTTGATTAAGTCCTTGGAGAAAAGTACAATCCCTGTTAGTGAAGGAGTTAATATTGGCAGCAATGAAGGAAGTTCAAAAGAGATGGGTGATCAAGGAAAAAATAAAAACAAACAAATTGAAGAACAAGAAAATCAAAAGGGAGCTCAAAAAGAAGATCGAATCAGTAAAGGGGTTGAAAATCGGAATAATGGGGGTAATTTTTCGAAATTGCTGTGGGCAATATCAAAAAAGATGGGAAAGAGAAAGGGGTATTTCAGTCAAAAGAGGGCAAAAGTGGGAAAATGAATGGTACAGGGTGTTTATCCCAAAAGAAAAGTTGGGGACAAGAGTGAAGAATGTAATTGAAAATTTTAATGCTAGAAAAGAAGGAATGCAGGGGAAAAAAGAAGAAAATCAGAAAAAGGTGTATGTTCCTAAGAAGCAAGTGGATTTTAAAGTTAGTTCTAACTTTGATAATATAGGTTCTACTTCTGGAAAAGATGATCAAGATGAGATAATATCACAAAACCCTTTTGATGTTCTTGCTGATTTGGGATTAAGGGATATGTCTTATTTAGATGAAATTGACCAGGAGATTTTAACTGGTGGTGGCCAGGAGACAGTCACTGAAAAAATAACTGTTGTTCAATGATGATGAATATAGGTTGCTGGAATGTGAGGGGTTCTAATTTAAGGCCTAAACAGGAGGAAATAAAGAATGTGATCAAAAGTAATAATCTGTCTTTGTTTGCTATTCTTGAATCTCAGTTGAGATTTAATAAGCTGCAAATGACATGTAATAAAGTTTTTGGGAGCTGGATGTGGATTTCGAATCAAGACATGAGCCCTAAAGGCACTCGTATTATCATTGGATGGGATCCGGATGAAGTTGTTGTCTTGCCGTTGGATGCTAATAGTCAGGTGATGCATTGTCAAATTCTTTTTATCAAAGAGAATAAGAGATTGTTTTGTTCCTTTGTCTATGCTTGTAATTATTATATAGACAGAAGGAAATTATGGGATTCTCTGGAAAAACATTATTGTTTGGCTGCGGGTTGTCCTTGGATGATTGCTGGAGACTTTAATGTTACTAGGGAACTTGTGGACTCGATGGCTGGTCATTCTAAAATATCGAGGGGTATGGTGGAATTCAACGAGTGCATTAATCGTATTGAAGTTCAAGATATAAATTGTAATGGGTTACACTACACCTGGAATCAAAGACCACGTGGGGCCTCAGGGGATTTGAAGAAACTTGATCGAGTGCTTGGGAATCTTAAATTTATTGAAGAATTTCCGAATGTGTTTGCTAATTTTCAGCCTTACCGGATTTTGGATCATAGTCCTATGATTATCAAGTTCCCAATTAAAAAGAAGTTCAGGATTAGGCCGTTCAAGTTTGTTAACTTGCTTGTGTTGTTAGATAACTTTCTTCCCATTGTTGATAGTGTTTGGAAAACTGAAATTGAAGGGTTTGGAATGTTTCGGCTTTGTCAGAAATTGAAGCTTTTAAGGAAGCCTCTTAGAAATTTGTTAAATGTCCATGGCAATTTTGCTGAAAAAGTTTCTAAGTGTAGAGAAGAATTATGTCGGGTCCAGAATAGTCTTGATTTAGACCCATGTAATGAAGATTTGAGATTTGAAGAAGGAATTTACCTCCAATCTTTTCTGAATGCTAGCTGGGAAGAAGAGAGTTACTTAAAGCAAAGAGCTAAAGTGCATTGGCTTAAGGAGGGAGATTCGAATACTGCCTATTTTCATAAGGTAGTTAAAGGAAAAATTAACAGGAACAGAATTGAAACAATCCTTGATGGAAATGGAAATTGGAAGGAAGGGGATGAAGCTTTTAAAGTTATTGTGGATTATTTTGGCGAATTCCTTGGAGTGGAACATGATGTTGTTCCCATTTTTAGGCCGGATAATTTGTTTTCCAGAAAACTTGACAATCAGCAAGCTTTAGATATGATTAAAGATGTTACTGATGAGGAAATTAAGGCTGCTCTTTTTGATATTGATGATGATAAAGCACCTGGCCCTGATGGTTTTTCTTCTAAATTCTTTAAGAAAGCTTGGATGATAGTGGGGAGTGATTTTTGCTTTGCTGTTAAAGAATTTTTTCTCTCAAAAAAGATTTTGAAGGAAGTTAATGCTACTGTTATTGCATTAGTTCCTAAAGTTCCGACTCCTGGCATGGTTGGGGATTATCGGCCGATTTCCTGTTGCAATGTGATATATAAATGCATCAGCAAAGTTATTGTTAATCGTATTAGAGAGCATCTTGGGTGCTTGGTTTCGGATAACCAATCGGCTTTTATTCCAGGGCGTTCAATTTTGGATAATATTCTGTTATCTCAAGAACTTGTCAGAGGTTATCATATTGATAGGGGTTTTGCTAGATGTGCCATGAAAGTTGATATTCAAAAAGCGTATGATACGGTCAATTGGAGTTTTTTGCGTAATATATTGAAAGAGTTTGGATTTCATGAGTCTATGATATCTTGGATTATGAATTGTGTTACTACTTCCTCTTTTATGATCAATATAAATGGAAGTTTTCATGGGTTTTTCCAAGGAAAGAGAGGTCTTAGGCAAGGTTGTCCTTTGTCCCCTTACCTCTTTACTCTTGTTATGGAGGTTTTTAACCTAATGCTTAAAAGGAGAATAAAGGAGAGTAATGAATTTAAATACCATTGGAGATGTAAAGAACAGGAGCTCACTCCCTTATGTTTTGCTGATGATCTGATGGTTTTCTGTCATGGAAATTCTGGGTCGATAAAAGTGATCAAGAAGGCTATGGATGAGTTTGCTAATTCAGCAGGTCTTGTCCCAAATCTGTCTAAAAGTCACATCTTTTTTGGGAATGTTAAGGAGCCTTTTAAAAGGAAAATTTTGAGGATTCTTCCTTTTGTCGAAGG